AAAAGGCCAGGCGTGGTGGCTCACACCTGTAATCCCAGCATTTTGGGAGGCCAAGGTGGGTGGATCACAAGGTCAGGAGTTTGAGACCAGCTGGCCAACATGGTGAAACCCTGTCTCTACTAAAAACCCAAAAAATTAGCCGGGCGTGGTGGTGTGTACCTATAATCCCAGCTATTCAGGAGGTTGAGGTAGGAGAATCACTTGAACCTGGGAGGCGGAGGTTGCAGTGAGCTGAGATCACACCATTGCACTCCAGCCTGAGTGACATAGTGAGACTCTGTCTCCCCTCCCACCCCCCCCAAAGAGAAAAAAAATGACAGTTATACTACATGTACTACATGAAGGTTTGTAGTTTTGACTGAAAGGACAAACCAAAACAAGAAAACAAATAAAAACCCCACCTATCATACAGGTAGAGTGATAGCATACTCATGTAGAATTGATTTGGCAAGTCTGTGAATGAGGTCCCAGAAATTGTATATTCAGTTTAGTGAGGCCAATGGAATTTGAAGTATAGGTGTAGAAATGTTGACATTAACAAATGCCATATGTATTAGGATTGTGACAATGTGACTGCTGACATGGTAGTGTGCCAGTCATTTTTATAGAATGTCTCTTGGTTAAGAAAATTCCAGGGTAACAGTTTTAAGGTTTCAGATTCTAGGTTTAAGATTTTAATTTCATCCCAAAATACACATTCATTTTAGAAAATTTAGAGAATACAGATAAGAATGACAATTCCTTGCAGTTTTTCTCTTCTGAGATAACTACTATTTACATTTTGTGTATAATCCACCAGTGTTTTCCTGCAGATAACTACTTTTCTCTTTTTGAAAAACAATTACAATCATATTATCTGCGTATTGCTTTACAGCCCACTTTTTCTACGTGAAGCAATATTTTCATTGTTGTATTCTGCTATGCCAGTTTGTTTATTGAACATGTACTGCGATACAGAAATACGAGATCTAGTGGCACTTTCCACCAAGTCGTAGATAATACCACTGGAGTGAGTATATAACATAAATAATTAACAGAATATAGCAGGAGATAAATGGAAGTTAAGAGGAGAGGCTGGAGTGACTTTAAACTGGATGAAGGCAAATTGAGGTGATCTTGAAGATGGATAGGCAAGAAGGGGCAAATTTTAGGTTAAAGAAATAAACACTAATGCAGAAGGGGCTTAAATGCATTTTATGGAATGTCACATTGAACTGTGAGTTCAGAGGAATAAGATCATATGTTTCTGAATTATAGAGGGGTTAAATCCAGGTTGAAAGTTCTGTGTCTCAGAAAAGTATGTGTAGTAGTTTTATGCAAAATAAATTAGGGCAGGGGATAGGGGTTTTTAAGCACAGTGGTTCCCAAACTTGACTGGATCCAGGATTCATCTGTAACATCTTGTTAAAACAAAACACATAGTCTTAGGTCCTTGTCCAGGCTTCCTGAATCAGGATTTTTGGAAGTAGAATCTGATGTAGTTTAGGGAACTTGCCCTAGAGTTTCTGATATAACCGTCAGGCCTAGGAGGTACTTAATTCTAGGAGGCATTTGTAATACTTAAGGTGAATTAAGGACTTGGTTCAAGTGACTAAAGTGAGCATGGAGAGGAATGGAAAGGCATGAGGCACTTTGAAAATGGATAGGATTTAGTAGGACCATTTAGAGTAGATAAAATCAGCAGCTTCTAATGAAATTACTGAAAGAATGGTGGTGCAGGAATAGAGATGGAAGTTGAAGCGGGTAACACGTGGTGCAGGAAGGTGATGAGGACTTGTAGGCACAGAGAATGGAGGCAGGGATGTGGCACTGTAGACAGCCACCCAGCAGCTTGTTAGACTGAATATTGAGTAAGAAGTTTGAGCAGAGAAGAGAGTTCGAAGTATTAGTTTGGAGTAAACCTTTGAAAATACTTGTTTTGCAGGGTACGATGTGTAAAGAAATGAGTGAAGGGGCCTGGGAATAGAACCAGAGGTCACATCTGAGGTTAAGGCTAAAGGTGAAAGAGACATGGATTATTTGGAGGATGGCTAGTGTTGTGAAATACAAGAACATACATTTAATTTTTTTTTTTTTTTTGAGACGGAGTCTTACTCTGTCGCCCAGGCTGGAGTGCACTGGCGTGATCTCGGCTCACTGCAAGCTCTGCCTTCCGGGTTCACACCATTCTCCTGCCTCAGCCTCCCGAGGAGCTGGGATTACAGGCGCCCGCCACCACGCCCAGCTTATTTTTTGTATTTTTTAGTAGAGACGGGGTTTCACTGTGTTAGCCAGGATGGTCTTGATCTCCTGACCTCGTGATCCACCCGCCTCGGCCTCCCAAAGTGCTGGGATTACAGGTGTGAGCCACCGTGCCCGGCCTTAAAAATTTTTAAAGGGGTAGCATTTCTCTGTAAACTCCACAAAAGTGTGGGAGGGAAAGTAAGTAAAACTGAACTAACTTTACTACTTTTAGTAATAGACTCATTGTAAGAAAATGTAAGCTATTCATGACAGTGTGTGTTTTTGATTATGTCTGGGCCTTGTTATTTTTCTGTGTTTCTGGGATGCAAGGATAATTTAAAAGCAATGGTTTGTAAAATGATATATAATTACATACGTATAAAAGTACATATAACCAACTAAGTATATGTATGCATGCACTCATGCAAATCAATTATGTATTAACATTTTATGTGTAAATTATATATGTGTGTGTATATTGTATTATAGAACATCCTGTATAGAAAAGTTGGTGCTGTCGGAAAGGAGAGAGCAAGGCAGTTTTCTAGTGCATTTCTTATAAGCTAGTTATGAGAAGGGCTTGCCGGCTGCTGATTCATTCAGCATATTTTTTTCTAAATGTCTTCTGTCTGATAGATACTGCTTTGTTAGGGAATACATAAATGAGATTACCCTAGATGTTCGGGTTAGTGAGGGAAACGTTACAATAGATAGCACTAAGCACTGTATCTCAGCTTTGATTCCCAGAGCACCTAGAGGGTCATTGGGCCACCTCTTTTAAGTTCCTCTTAAGATCTAGAATTGATTGGAATAATAATAATAGAAAGTTTGAGTACATTTTGTGTAGGTGACATAAAAGAACATCCTTAGGCAAGCGTATCAGTTAAAGGACTTGTCTTCATGGCTCTTGGTGTTTTCTTCATACCACTTTGCTCTTAGTTCCTGTTAGCAGAGGGGAAGAAGCAGACTCCAATATTAAAACCCATGCTAGTGAAAATTAGAAACAAGCCACATACCCTCAATAGGTGTTTGCTTAAAATGGATTTACATCTTTGCAATGGAGTACTGTGCACCTGGTAAAATGATGATGCAAATATAAATTGTTGATAAAGATATATATATATATATATATTTTTTTTTAAAGAGCAGAGATTCCAACACCAAATTTTGGGTGGTGGAATTTTATTAGGTTGGTGCAAAGGTAATATGGTTTTTGCCCTTGGGAGATTGGGCTGATGGAGACACTCATTAACCAAGATTGATAATACAGAAAGGAGAAGTGGATTTTTTTCCCTGTTTTCCCTGCTCTTTCCTCCCTTTTGGAGTAGGGGAAATGGTAGATTCAGTTTGATGTGGCCAAAAGCAGTGGCTTAGTAGTCAGTTTGCTTGGATTTGAATATGTCTCTACCATTAGTCGTATGTGACTTGAGATGGTTTCACTTTGCCTCTCTGTGCCTTAGTTTTCTCACTTGGACAATGGGAATGATAGTGGTACTTAACTTTTTGTAATTATGGAGTTTAGTGGTTTGAAGTAGAATATTTATACCAGTGCCCATTAAAGATAAGTCATCTCATGCAGTGAGACATAACTGGGACTTTCGAGCTCAGTTCCTTGAGGTCTTCTGGGCCTGGAACAAGTCTGCCTTATAAAAATTGGCTTAACTCTACGTGCTACATACTAAAGTAGTTCTTAATGTAGACTTTTAACCAACTGTCTTAGAAATGAGCCTTTGGAACTTAGGTCTACATGTGATAGGGGTACTTTCTAGTGTCTACTTGATAGAGCAGTCACTTTCTAGTAGGGGGAGTTAGGTTCCCGAAAAGTTCTGTGGTCTGAGAATTCATTTTTGAGGAACTCAAAACACAAGAGAATAAACAGTTGATAGACTTGAAGGTCATACAAACCTGTGCAGATCATTGTAAATGTTTTCACATTCTAAAGGAAGACAGAGGACAGCAAGCAAAACACAGTATCAGTGGTAGTTTACATATTTTGAATTAGTAACAGGGTACCTGTACTGTTTACACTTACTGGTGATAACTTACCCCCAGAAACTTTTGTTTCTCCCCTTCAGTTTTAAAAATGATGTGTCAGTGCATTATGTATTGTTGCAGGTAATGTGCATATGATGCATTTCCTTTCTGTTTTATTCTATTTGTTGGTATGTCCAAATACTCAGTGCTTGATTTTGTCTTTCAGGCCCAGGTGTGGTCCCAGAGATACCGAGTTGGTAGTTGAGATAGCCAAAATCTGGGGCAAAACTCATTTGATCTGCTCAGTTTTTAGTTCTTAAACCTTCTCCCTAGTTCTTTTCACATAATTGCATGAGAAAGCACATGCTTCTAGCCTCTTTAACACAAATTTCAGCTATTCCACTTCCAAAATGCCATTGGAGTAGTATAATCCAGCACCCAGTTTATAATCCCACATGTTCTTTGACCTTGACCAAGGTTTTAATGCAAAACTGAATCATCTGCTATTGGTTTTTACCTTCTTTTCAGTTTCTCTCTCTCTCTCTCTCTCTCTCTATATATATATATATATATATATATTTCTTTTTGAGACAGGATCTCACTCTGTTGCCCAGGCTGGAGTGCAGTGGCATGATCAGGGCTCCCTGCAGCCTTGACTTCCTGGAATCACGTTAGCTTCCCTGTTAGCTGGGACTGTAGGCTGCACCACGACACCCAACTAGGTTTTTTATTTTTTGGGGTAGAGATGGGGTTTTGCCATGTTGCCAGGCTGGTCCTGAACTCCTGGGCTCAAGCGATCTACCTGCCTTTGCCTCCCAAAGTTCTGGGATTACAGGCATAAGCTGCTGTGCCTGGCCTAAGTTTTTTTTGATAAAGGGAAAATACAGCGATCTGTTATATGCTGGAATCAAAATTTTTCTACTAGATGAACTTTTGGGGGAAATTTAGTATTCTGTTCTAAATTAAATGCCTTTTTCAAGTAATTACTGCTAATGAACTCTTGTTTTTTCATGTTTAGGGTGGTCGATGCAGAGTAGTGCATATAAGGGGCTAAAATCAGACTTTGACACATGTGGGTTCTTGCATCTCTGTATTTTCTCACAACTATTTCAGTGATCCTTAATGAGTGGCATCTTGGCATAGTGAACTTTAATGTGGGACCAGAGTTCACAAACTGTTACCTTAGGCCAGTTAATCTTTCTGACCTTTACTTTCCCTGTTGGTGAAATGGAAGTAACACTACCTACTTATAGGGCTGTTAGGAAGTCAAATGTGTCAACGTCTATAAAATGCCTCAGCTGAGTGATTGGCGCATAGATAGTAAGTGTTCCACAAATGTGCATTTCCCTATAGTTTCACTGATCATTTTGGTGCAATATTATATTCTTTATAAAGTCTTGTGTATTTTGGCCTTTTTTTTTTTTTTTTAAGACTGTGTTTTCTAGGGTTTTGAGGGGAGTGATAAATGTTCTGGGTTTTTAGGATTTCACTTGAAATCCTCCTATATAATTGCTTTTTCTCTGTAATGCCACTTGATCATCTTATTGGAAATAAGAGATTTTTTTTGCTTGTGTGTTAGGCATCAAAACCATGATACTTCTATTTTCCCTTTGGCTCCTTTGGCTATTATAATTCTAGAAAATTATTTCTAAAATTACTATGTGGGAAACGTACTTTCTTCTGTCACTTCTTTAATTAGTTAGTGTAAATGAGCAAAAGTTTATAAGGGAATGTTAGTTAACAGTGTATAAATTTTAGATAATGACATAAGTTTAATTTATGGAATCTAATTTTAGATCTAGTTTTTCTTGATTTCTATTTTGTATCTTTTTTGTGGTTGCTTATTTTTAATGGGCACCTTCTGAGCTATCTTTTTAGATCCCAGTGTGCACTGTATTTTATCTTCTCGTATGGGCTAAATTTTTTAAATTGTGAAATATGTGAGAATTTGTGTAACATATGTAAAATGAAGTAATAAAAAACAACTTGGTATTTTCTCCCAGCTTAAGAAGTGAGATAGTACTTAACTAGTACTTTTGAAGCTCTTTGTATCATACTGATTTTTTTTTTTTCATTTGCTACTTGTAATACTTCCTACTACTTTAGTTATTTTGAAATTAGATACAATTTTTAGTTTGGTGTCATTACAAAACATTGTCACATTGGAGAACATATTGCACCTGCCATTTAGTTTGTTAGCTCCTGGGTTAATCTGAACTTGCCTGTCATGCTGATGCATTCATTTCAGTCCCAGTCTTACATTCTGGATCTCTGTTGATTAGTGTTTTTTGTTTTTTTGTTTTCTGTTTTTGAGACAGATTTCCCTCTTGTTGCCCAGGCTGGAGTTCTATGGCGCGATCTCCGTTCACTGCAACCTCTGCCTCCTGAGTTCAAGCGATTCTCCTGCCTCAGCTCCCCCGAGTAGCTGGGATTACAGGGCGCCCAGCTAATTTTTTTTTGTATTTTTAGTAGAGATAGGATTTCTCCATGTTGATCAGGCTGGTCTCGAACTCCCGACCTTAGTTGATACGCCCACCTCGGCCTCCCAAAGTGCTGGGATTACAGGCATTAGCCACTGCACTCGACCTTGTATTTCTTATTTTATTTTTTACAAATCTTAGTGTATCAGTACTTTTAATTAGGTGGCTTGATTCCCCCCCCCACCCCTGCCTTAGGAATACAAACACAAGAGACTAAGCTGAGTACCTACCTGAGTATACCACGTGTTTAACAGCCTGTGGAAATTGTCCTGTCCCTGAAGATACGCTGTAGATTAATTTTATGCAGTGATTTTAAGACAACTAAAAAAGTGCTTTGTGAGTTTAACTTCTAAAATCCGTGTAAGCTCATTTTCTGGATTGTTCATAGACCATCACGTTGCCTTTGGCAAACTGAGCTGGAACATACTGTAGAAGATTTGAGAATCATGAGAGGTTCCTGTGGTAAAGAGAGATGTTTGTCACTAGCATTTGATTGTTACTCCATAGTTTGAATGGCTCCATTTGTGGGGGAAATGATGAAAAATATACTCTGTATTTTTCTCAAAAAAAAAAAAAAAAAAAAAAAAGAAAATATGGCTGTCTAGATTTTTAAGCTTCTTTAGGAAGAAAATCATATCTGTAGCTTATCTGCAAAGCACATTTGGTGTGTGGAATTATAAAAACTCTGACCTCAAATTAACATTTTTGTTTTTGAAAAGTGACTAGCCTGAAGGAAGGATATATGGAATAATCACTAAAGTCCTTATTTAAAGTAATCCAAGGTCAAGATTTCTGGAGTTTATTGTTACTTAGCATATGATGGTTTGGTTACTATATAAGTCAGCAGCAAATTATGTAACTCAGAGAGATACTTTACGTGGCCTTTCAAATGAGTAAAGATTAATGGATAATGTTTCAAAAAGGTGTCAGAATTTTGACGTGTATTTCTTACCTTTAGATTTTTAAAATGGTAATGAAATAATCTAATCTCTAACAATTTTTAACAAAGAATACTGATACCTTAATTGATTCTACTTTCTTATAAATAACTTTCGTACCGGTGATACCTACTTCTATTGAAATTGGCGAGGTGTAAGTAGCGTTGTAACATTTTCTAGGTGAAGAATATGATGTTGAGCCTAAAGGATTTGGTTATATAGTTCATAACTAGAGACTGAATTTATATTTTCTTTCCCCATAGTTCAAGTCTTAATTTTAAAGACTGATCATTTTAGGGGAAAAATTATTAGAAAATGATGTCCTTTGAGTAAAGATAATCTTGATTCAATTATTGTTTTTACAAATAAAACTATTCTGATGCAGCAGTCTAGTGTTCATTCGTCCATCTAGTCATACACCCCCACAGTATGCTATCAGCTGGTTGTAGGTCTAGTGTTTAATGTAATACCGTAACAGGCATTTGAATTGGAATGGTAGTTCTTCAGGAATAGAATCTGGAATACAGGTAAAGATTTCAGACACAATTCCTAATTTAAAAATAACTCACAGTGTCTCTGAGGTTATTTTCCAGTGAAGTGTTTAGTATTGCTGCTATTTGGAGTACAAAGTTGGAGCTTTTAAAGAACTTGGGAGTTCAAAAGTATAAGAAGAAATAAATGAAAAGCAGAAATATTTTGAGGCAATAAGTATAGACTCAAATCTATATTATGACCACTTGGAATTCTACCAATAAGAGATTTATTTGGGCAAACTATAATGGTTGTTGGAAATTGCAAATCTTAGTGTGAATTATTTTAGTCCAGTTGGTTTCTTTCTTTTACTTACCTGAAATGAACTATACTGAGGCAATAGGAGCTTTGTATAGTAATTTAGGAGTGTAAAACAACTTAGGGAAAAGGATTATTAAGCAGGATGATTTGGATGACATCATGTGAAATTTAGGAATTGGAGGCATTGGAATTGAGAGAGTACTAACAAAGGAAAACCGCTTATTTTAGAATTTGTCTGGAGGGTGTAGAGTTGAAGAAAGTTTTGGTATTTCTTCTGCAGCGGCCCCAGTGCTCTTGACCAGGAACATCTCTTGGAGTCAGTAGTTTTCATGAGGCTGGCATAGGAGCTTGGCCAATGTATGCAACATTGTTCTATTTAGAATATTCCCTGAATTAATTCCATAGTGTCAAAACATAAATTTTTCACTCAACTCCTTTGTAAGTTAGATTTTAACTTGTACTTGTCTTTACCTCTTCCGCTGATATCAGTTGACAACACTGAGATTACTTTCATTTTCCTGTAAGTCGTCATGAATTTTTCTGGTCAACCATGAGTTATCAGCAGAAGCAGTAAGTAGGATGTACTGTAAAAGAATTACAATAAAATAAGAGAAACCACTTGGAGAGCAAGAGGGCTTGTGGACTTAGGGGAACAGTTATGAGAAGTGTCTCAGAATTTAATTTACAAATAACGTTGATAGATTGACATGTTGTCTTTCCCATGAAGTAACTTTCATTACCTCGGCCTTAATAGTAAACTACTATGAAAGTGAATTCACGTCTATCTTGATTTGTGAGCTGATGAAAATTACAAAATGTAGGGTTTTTTCCCCAGATAAATAGTGGAATGTTCAGGTTTGATGCCTGGAAAATAGCTGAAATTTTCCATGGTAGTAGGCATATTTTGAAACTGTTTTTCTTTTCTCTGACAATTGAATATATTTTATATATAGTTGATTTTGATTATTGAAGACTAAGGAAAATTGATTTTAAGTAAGTTTAAATGTTAGAAAATGAATTTTGCAAATTTGAAGTAATTTTATATGTTTTGGGATTGTAGTTATGTTAGATATTCCTCAGTTGGGGTAATTGTCTTGCATCATTATCTCTTATCATCATCTGTTTTTCTTCACACAGTGTTATAGTTTTGCCGCTGGACTCTTCCCTCCCTTCCCCCACCCCATCAGGATGATATGAGACTTGAAAGAAGACGATGCATACAGGTGACTCAAGTTTTGAAATACAGTAAAACTGTGGCTAAGAGAATGTGGGAATCGATGGTGTATTTTGAATGGGGGAGCGTTCTGATAAATAGTAGGGGGAATTGTAGATCAGTAAATGCAAAGGTAGTTGGGCTATTTGTTAAACTTTTGAACTCAGATTGATAATCAGTGATTTACAATGGTGTTATTACAAATACAGCATAGTAATTGCTAGCACTTAGGCTTTTCAAGAGCTAATATTTTGGTGGGAATTGGAATAATTCTGTTAATAATGTAAATAACACAGTTACCTTTATGGTTGAATGCATGTCTCCCCCAGAACTCTATTAGAATATGGCAAATCTTTTATGGGAGTAGATGTTAGTAGGATATCATTAAAAAGACTGACAGTTAAATTAAGGATATTATATTCATACGTATGGTTTCTTAAAAAGATATGCTCTGAGATTTTGTTTATTTTTTCCTTGTTCCTGATATCCCTGCCTCCCATTTCCTTCCCTCCCTTCCCCTCTTATCCTTTTGTCATTTGTATTTTTATACAGAAGAAGCAGTGTGAAGGCATTTTTGAAAGAATATTTTTTGATTGCTCTGTAATTAATTGAGGAGATCTTATACATGGGAAGCTGGAGGCTATTCCATGTGTGGCTATGTTCAAATTCCTGAAAATGTAGTGCAGCTAATGTATAAAGTGTTACTAACTTTTGAACTTAAATGTTCTTAAATCAGGCATATTGTAAGGCATTTTGTTGAACTAAGTGTCTTACATTTGAAACTCTGTCAGAGATAGTCTTGTTTGATTATATTTATAAACTAATGTTTGAAAATGTGATTGCTAACTGGAAAAGATAATTATATAAATTTTGAATTGATATCTAACAGATAGTAATTATATCATTGGTGTAGTTTTTGTGATTGGTTTTTATTTTTGGTGATCTGGGTTTTGTCTAGGGGAAAAATCATTTTATGATTTTAAGATTTTTTAAAAAATGTTTCGATGTACGATTTTATATGAAGAAATGTGCTTGAATATATTTATAAATTAAATTAGATTATATAATACTTTACGTTCATGTGGAAGTCACCATTTTAAGACTGATGTTAATTCTTGTTTACGTCAGAGGTGATTGAGCAATCACCTCCATTACGCATCTATCATGCATGCACACAGGCTTGCACGCGTTATGTGTGCCTGTACACATTAGAGGTATGCCGGGTACACATTCTGGTCGAGTTGCTCGCTGATTGTTGAAAGCAACGTGATGCTGAAGCTGAATATCACCATCATAGAACAACAAATAGGCATATTTACAGAAACATTTTTAGAATTTTATGCACATTTTTTTGTTGTCAGATTTTATAAGTTTGACCTTTTGGTGCAGGAACTATTTCTCAGCATTGTCAGCTCCTGGATTGCTCCTTGGGCGCTATACTGCACATTGGCTATACCAAGTAGATGCTCACTTTCGACTGAGGTCAGTAGAGGAACAAAGTATTTTTGGGGTATCTCATAGATTTATCTATGAATATTACTGATTTTGGAGATTTTCTCTCATGAAATTTTGGAGTTGCAAAGTTTCTGTTTATCCTCACAAGACATGGAGGGTTTCCAAATAGCTCTTTTTCTTGAAAGGCTTATGGCCTCAATGGAATGAAATAACTAATGAGTAAATACAGTTTATAGTTATCTAATTAATTTTATGAATGCTAGAACACAAGAAAATTCTACAGATCAGATTTATGATAAAATCCAATCTTTTGTTCAGCTTTGTATTCTTTAAAAATTACCAGCATTTATTGGCTTACAAAGGAAAAAACCCAGGAAAGAAGATCTAGCTGTTAAATAAATATATTAGCTGTTGGTGTATTCCCTTTCTAACAATTTGAAAGTTAATAATTGTTTTTGAACATAAAATTAACAGCTTTCAGAATCATCATTAATATAGCAGTTTGGTCTTGTATTACTATGCACACATTTATTCGACTGATAGAATTTCATCACATTAAAACTCATGAGTAGATGTTCACCGAAAATTGTTTCTAGAGAATGCTTACACACATTTGAAAGCAAGTCGTCTGCTTTCTCCAGGCCTTGTTTTTACCTTCTGGCATTGTTCATGGTACTGGCTTTGTTATGTTGGTTAGATGTGGTAACTTATTCTCACCTTTTCCTTGATGAGGCACAGGTTCAGGGATGCTGGAAAGGACATTGAAGTAGGCATTGGCTGATGGGCCTTTCAGAAGTGAACACTTAAGAGTAGGTTTTCAGAGTAACTCTGTGAGGTGATGAGTATGTTAATTGACTTGATTGTGGTGATCATTTCATTTTGTATATATGTATCAAAACATCATGTACACCTTAAATATGTAAAATTCTTATTTTCCAGTTATAACTCAGTAAAACTGGTAGGGGAGAGAACAAATAGTTTTACTGAACACTAGGCCAAAGTCAGACTTTGATGTATTTTGTCCATGTGTCTATAGGTGTTCCTGTACTTACTTAATTTGAGGATCTTTTTGCATGTTCTAAAATACAGTTAGAACATGAATGAGGTAAATTTGGATTTTCTTTTGATTTTTGGAAGAACAAATGATTTGTTAACAAACATTTATTTCGTCAGCATTTGCTTTGTACCAGGTACTATTATAGGTGCTCTGCCTACAAAGATCCCTGAGCTTATGGAGAACAAATAAATGAGGCAGTGGAGGTTTCTGATAAAGTGTTAAGACTCACCTATTGAATTCAAGGCATGCAGAGAGAAAATAGAGAGCACTGTCTGGGTAATGACATTGACAGTAATGGCTTTACCTGTATGCAGAGGTTACCAAAATCTCTGCATCCTATTCTTCTCTTCTGAGCTCCACACTCAGGTAACTGCTTCCTGGATGCTTCTCCTGCATATTCCCTCCTCCTCCCCCATTCAGTTCTCTTAGTAATGAGTGACACCGTTCTACCCTAACACAACATCATTTGGGGATCCTAGAAACCACTCTTTGCCCTTTTGAATCACAAGTAACCAAATTCAGTTTATTTAAGGTATAGAATCACTTCTGAGATGAGATTTGAAAAAAGTACTGCCTCAGAGATTACCATGTATATAAATATAAAGACTTTGATATAAAGAAACCTGTGTAAACCAGCATTTCTTCAGTTTATTTGATCAAGGGACCTCCCTTTCCTTTTATTTTTGATTTATACCTATTAACATCTTGTGGAACATGATTTGGGAAAATGTGTTGGGAATAGAAGTTGCTACCATTCTTTGTTTTGTTGAAATGAACTTCTTTAACACCTAAAAAATTTTTAAACAATAGTGATATACTAGTCACTTTAAAATGTGGAATAGTTCCAAAGCATACAGAACTATCACTTTTTGAGGATGAATAAACATGGAAATTTATTTTTAAATGTGCTGATTTGTTCATATTGTCTTTGTCATAATTCTTATGCATACACTATATATATATACACTCATATATATATGAATTTAAGTACTTAAAACCATTTGTGGCAGAGTTTTAATTTTAGATTCTCTTAACTCATTTTAAAATGTGAATTTTGTAGGACAAAATTTTCATATTTCCAGTGATCACAGAAATGTGGTGTATTCATTACAGAACAATTAGATTCCAGTGATCACAGAAATGGGGTGTATTCATTATACAAGAGTTAGAAATCAGATCTGTAAATCACAAAACCCCAGCTTTTAAAATCCCATCATATGCAGGATACACTGGGAGAATGAAAGGGCATGTACATTGTAATACTTAGGTAGCTGTTGCCAGTTTGCCTCCCCTTGGAATTGTTCTTCTCGTGGTCGTGTGTGTCTGATCTTTTTCTTTGTCTGTGTCTCCTTCTCTAGCTCATGTCTCAACTCAAGCAGTTTGATTTTTTTCTTACTGGTTCAATAAATTTTTTTTTTAGTAAGTTAAAAAGATAGTGGATTTGCTTTTGCGCTCATGGTTTTACTTCTTGTTTGTTAGATAATACAAAATCACTGAAAACAAAATCACTGAAAGAATTCTGAAATGTATAAATATATATGGATAAGTATAAGGAAACACCCCAAGTTTTAGTGTCCTCTACAGTGTGACACATTCCCTTCCAGTTTTTTTTCCATGCCATTTTTAAATTAATTGAGATCATTTTGAATATTCAGAATGATGTGGTTGGGTAAGATCCATTTTATACTTGAATCGACTAACATATCATAAATGTTTCTCTACGTCATCAAAAGCTTATGGTAGTGATCTCCTGTTACTTTGAACTTGGAGCAAATCCAGGGTACTCAGAATGCTTTTGAAGATCAATTACTTTAGATATTTATTTTACAGTTTGCTTATTTCCTAGTTAAGTTAGGTATCTCTTATTTTTAGGCATTAAATTGTTTTCTAAAGCACTAATATCTGTGCATAATATTTGGCTATAAAATTATTTTCTTATAATTGTTTCCTAGGAATCATAGTGTTTGAAAAACTTTCAGGCTCTTGATACAACTTTTCAGAAAGCTGTTTGGTAATATGTACCACTCTGTACATTACAAGAATGTCTCTTAATTTATTTTTCTCAGCATTGAGTATTATAGTTAAGATAAATCTTCAACAGGCAAAAAGAAGTATCTCTTTATTTTTGAACAAATAAAGTAGTATTTTATACTTGGTGGAGGAGATATAAGTGCTGTAGAAATGCATAAAGTAAAAAGAGACAGCCACTCCCCTTTTCCTAATAGTTCAGATTCTTTCTTTCTAGCAAGTGGTTTTTGTTTAATACTTTTATGGCATGTGCACATATTGTTTACCGGTTTTATGTCTAGCTAGTCCGATAGTTCCTGAAGTTCAGGGGTTAAGGCTTATCCTCTTTGTGTGCCCTGTGACTGTCTGGCAGGATTTCTGGGACACAGGAAGTGCTCAGCAAATGCAAAAAGAATAATTTTTGCCATCCTAATGGCATTTTTAATGCCTAAAAATAAGTATATTCTCGCTTTAATACATTTCTTCAATTGGTTTTAAGAGTTCCTTATTTTCCATTTCTTTTTATGTTTCATAGTTTTATTTATGTTTTTAAGTGGAAGCAATTAATAATGATTACATTATGTATGTGTCATATGAAAGAACATTTGATATTTATAGAAAAAATGGTGGGAAACCTGAGGTAAGCCACATTGTAAAACTGAATTTTTTACCTTAGTATCTCTATTTAAGACCCAGGTAAAAGCAAATACATTTATATTCACGATTTTGGATTTTCGGTATACTTACTAAGTGTACCTTCAAAGAATGTCTAAGTTCTAGGAAGATGACAACAGAACATAGTTTAAAAATTTTCCCATTTTCCTTTAGATAGAGACAGAGTAACTAGGTCAGCAAAACCAAAACGTCACGTTCAGCATCTGCAAGACTAGGAGAACAGTATCCCCCTGACTCACATACAAGTAAGTAGGTGAGAGTGAATGTCTGATAACAAGACCTGTGTGGTATCAGCATTTGTGCAGAAGGAGGCATGAGGGTGTCTAATGGGCCTGAGAATAGGAGAACCCCAAGGTAACCAACAGAGGAGACTCACTTTAGT